ATGGAACTCTATCTAACTGAAACCTATAAATACCCCTTCAAATGTGGCTATGTTTTAAGAAATGCTTAAAATGTTCTTTTCCTGTGTGCTTTGGGATCTGAGTCACGCTTTGGGATAAAGCATTGTGGGAAGCTGGTGAGGTAAGAATACTTCCTGAGTGGAAGGGAGAAGGATGTGATTTAATAGTTAACCAGAACTTGGGTGTCTGGATCATTCTTTGTACTTCTGTGGTTAGGAAACAGGTGTGTGTGTGTGTGTGTGTGTGTGTGTGTGTGTGTGTATAAAAGAGAAAGACAGAGAGAAGAGAGGGGAAAGAGAAAGAAAAAAAGGGGGAGAGATTTCTGCCTTTTGTGTGTTTTAGAGCCATGTTCATAAATCTCCCGGCCCTCCAGGGTTATGACATAATTGGAGAAACAGCTCTGGGTAGTTATCCTGGATCCTTCCTGGCTCTCCCGGGTGGGGGATCTGTGCTCCGGCTCAGTAGGAACGGCATGAATGAATCGTGCTGGAACTGAGTGCACTTTCCCACATGGTGTCCTGAAACCCGAGGCTGGCACGGGTTGCACACCATGCGGTTATTTCCTTTTCTTGTGATGCGGCGGTCACACAGTGCTGCTCATCGCCGGACTTGTACACTTGTCCCCTTGCGGCCACGTTGACATCCCAACAGCAGCTGTCCCTGCCCGGCCACTGGCCCTGGCTTCCTCACCCGTCTCCCGTGGCCTCATGCCTTGTGTCTTGGCCACTAGCCCCTCCCCCTCCCCCTTGGGCCTCTTTCTTTAGGAAGGAAGGCCGACGGTTGGCGTTTATAGAAGAAACCTGTCCACTGTCTGAAAAGGTCTGGAATCTGCAGGAAGTCTCGTTTCCAACAAGGGAGGGCCTCCCCTTGCTGTGTGCCTCATCCCCGGCCTCTCCATCCTTCCCAGCCTGTGTCCCAGCTGCTGTCTCTTCCCCTTATGTGGCTCAGCCCTTGCTCATATGGAGGCCTGTGTTAGGGACCGGCTGGGAGCCCTGCTGAAGACATCCTCGGTCTCTGTCTGGAGCTTCTTAGCCCATTTGTTGTCTGCCTCCTCTGCCCTGACCTGCGGTGTCACCATTTAGAGACTGAGCAGAGATACACTGAAACAATCACTGTCTGATTTTAAACAGAAGTCTGCATGGGACAACAGGCAGTGGTATCAGAGGCAGACCCATTTTCATATGAGGAAATTATTTAACCCACAGCTGGAAGATGAAGCCTTCCCAGGTTTAAAAAGAGAGAGAGACAGAGAAGAGACAGAGAGACAGACAGAGAAAGAGACAGAGACAGACAGAGACAGACAGAGACAGAGAGACAGAGACAGGAGAGAGAAAGAGGGGCAGGAACACACCCACTGCCCCTGCTCGTGGAGAAGACTTGCTCTTTGTTTCTGCTCCCTTGTTTCTCAGAGGCCACAGGCCAGCTCCACTGTCTTTTATTCCATTTTCTGTGTGTTGTAATTGAAGATAGCTGTAGGTTTTCTCTCTTCTTTGAAAGGAAAATAATCAAGCAAACAAGACATACTAGGGGAAGTAATGCCCTTCTAGAACAACCATTGTGTTGGCCTTTTCCTCTCTCCTCTATGTCCTCTTCTATGCCCATTGATCAGTGGACCTTGCATAGAGGGCCGCTCTCCGTGCTCCAGCAGCAGACTCTCATGACCCAGGGACTGAAGGGGAAGCAGAACATCCTACTGAGAGAGGGAGACAGAGAGCGAGAGCGAGAGCGAGCGAGCGAGCGAGAGAGAGAGAGAGAGAGAAGAACGCGTACAAGTGTCCAGTTCTGCAGGCATAGCCGTTCACAGGCCTAGTTAGATGCTATTATTCTAGAGTTTGCTAGAGGAGACCCCACAGGCAAAGGAGAAAGGGCAAGTGGATGAGCTTGCTCTAAGTTGCAGACACCCACTGCTGGTGGAAGGTATGGAGATGGGGGACAGCCTGGGCTACTTAGGGTAGCAACAAATAGAACCAGTAAGATCTACTGTCAAACAGGCCAGGTGAGAACCAGAAAGAGCAGAGCAGCCCATTCCCCCACACAGCGGGTCAGCGGCTTCCCCACCACAGCCCAGCTCCATGCCCTGGGCCCGCACCTGCTGCTCTAGATACAGCTGCCCTACAACCCTAGCCCATACGCTGTCAGTGAAGTGGTGGTCCAGCTAAGACTGTTGAACTCTCTCTAGAAGCTTCTGCCAAGTGGACACAATGCCACATGGACAAGAGCTGGCTATTCAGGTAGTGAGGGCATGAGGGTGAGGGAGAAAAGTACAGACAAAAGCAGTGTTTGGAGGTGCTTACCGCTGAGGTGTGCCACATCTGGGTGGAGAGTAGATGTCATCCAGGAGGGGACAGAGAGGACACTGGAGGCGGGTGGCACCGAGGGGCAGCGTGGCGGGTCATCTGAACAGCAGCTTTACATTGTGGATGTCGTACATCGCAATGGCTTGGACTTGAGAGAAGGATTAGTAGGCATTGTGTAGTGCCCCAGGCTCCTCTTCATCCCGGGATCCCGCGTCACCGAGGGGCAGGCTTTGTGTTCTTTGTTTACTTCCGGTGGCACAGCTCTAGTGTGATGAACAGTCGAGCTCTGAAATATCAACCAATAGTAGACAAGATGAATACTAGTCAAAGAAATTTCCTTCCCTTGGAAGGACATTTGTAGTGCCCCAGCCTCTTCATGTCCCAGACCTGGGAAGGAGGCTCACACACATGCCTGGCACAGGCTGCTGCTTTTCTGTGCTCCTTGGGACGTGCAGAGTCTGGGGCGGCCCTGGGGCCTCGTGGGGGTGAGTTAGTTACCTTGCCTGCCCCGGGCCACCTTGATGGCCAGTGGTGCTGCATCAGCATTCACAGAAAGAGACTTGATCCAGGAGCTGTCAGAGTCCCTCTTCTTTCCTCTAGTACAGTGACTGCACTCTGCTACCCAGACTGAAGTGAAACATCGGACCCCCACATTATTATTTACTGAGAATTTCCATCATACCAGGTAGCGACCGGTAGACCTTAGTTGAAAATGGAAGAAAAGATATATGGGTTGATCTTTCTCCAAGAATATCTATAGATAAAGATATAGATGAACCTAATACCAAGACGCATGTAAACTGGATTAATAACCAATTTCGTTTTTGAATCTTTGTGGGAGTTTCTAATTAAAATCCATATCATGTTAAAAAGAAGGACTATTTTAGAACGTTGACCATAATGTTCTTTTTCAACCCATCGAGCCAGGCTGTGGGTTCAGTGTGTACTGACCAATGTCACCCCATGTGCCATTCCCCATCTTTCCCAACCCCACTCACACCCTCATTACAAGGCTCCATTTCCACATTTGTACATTGAATATAATGACTGTACTCACCCACCCTTCCTCTCTCCTTTTGTATAACCCCTCCCCACCCCTGATAAAACATGTTTCAGCTTCCTGGTATTCATGTTGTCAAACTGTCCTATAATATTTTATACTTAGACATCACTGACGATGCTTGAGATAGAAGTTTGGAAAGATTTTTTGTAAGATTTAGTGAAGTCCAAGTTTATAATAAGTAAACAAGCCTTGCCAAGCAATAAGGGCTTAGTAACACCTGCCCCTTTGTGTAGACAGAACTTCCAGTGTGGGAAGCCCTGGACCCTGGTTAGAACTTCACCTGTGTTTTGTTTGTTCACAAGAACATGGGACACTGGATTCATGCCCATGAATTGACTCCCCTGGGCTGCATCTCATAGTCAAGAGGTAGATTCTACAGAGTAGGATCTGAAGTCATTGCTGCTTACCCCATACTCAACCATTCTCTTTGGCTAGGACCCCAGAGGCCCCAGGGACAGAGGGGAGGAGCAGATATCAGAACGTGGTTGCTCTTCTCAAAGCTGGCAGTCATGCATGTGTTCCTTTTTCTTACATAGTAAACATTTGAGAAACCAGAGCAAGAATCTTGTAACAGTTGTTATTATCCAACAGCTCACCAGTCTTCTTTTCCTGTGTTAACACGCAGAACGGCTATGATGTATTTATGCCACTGGCATCAGCGGCCCCTGCCCAGACATGGGGTAAAGTGTCTAAAACAGGCAATGAAGAGAAAGTCTCTGCTCCTCCACTTCCTGTCCTGCATTGCCCTCTCCTGAGGCAGTGGCCGCCACCAGGGCCCTCTGCAGAGCTTCTGCATGTGTAGGCATATGGAAAAAGCAAAGCCCACACAGCATCCCCAATCCTGCTTTGTTCACTTAACAATATCACTTGATTATTCCTCATTCACATAAGAGCTTCTGCTCCTTCCTTTGAACGATTGCAGAGCATAGGTGTTCATATTTACTTCCCTCGTCCCCTGTTAGTGGACATAAGGTGCTTCCTGGAAACTAGCAACACATTTCACTTGCCCGTAGAGCTGTGCACAGTGACCTGATAGATTGTTTCCTACCTCTGTGCTTGCCTTCTCTGGCCGTTGGTACTTCTGCAACAATAATGCTAACTAAGGTTCATTAAGTGTACTATATACTAGCACATTTTATGCATTATTATCATACTCTGTTATTACCTAAGTTTGAATATTTGATCTTAACAGTGATAATTTAAATTCTTTTTGAGACATAAACTACAATGAAGACAATTATGTAAAATATACAAAAGTAAATGAATAATATATGGTGTGGTAAACTCATTACTATCTCACCTAGGTTTTATCAGTGAAGCTTATAGTGGTGGGAGTAGGATTTGAACCCAGATACACTGGCCCCAGAGTCAAGGTGCTAAGTTTTCCACTCTCCTGATAGAGGATTAATGTGAGTTGCTAACTCCACCTCTGAGCATGGTCCCTTTAGAGCCAAAGGTGCTGTGGTTTGGGACCGTCTTCTCAGGAATGCAGACCCCATGTTGAAAGTTTGGTAGTCAACCAACTGACTACCTCTAAGAGACAGTGGAGGCCAATAGACATCAGAACTTAAGATTGTGGACTCGTCACATATTTTGAGCACAACTCTCATTTTATTTCTAGTAGAAACAAAAGTATTTTCTGGAAGCAGCAAGGAACAGCAAGGACAACCCCGTGTGACACTGTCAGCTCCCTCAGTGGAACACAAGCCTTTTAAACACTCTCCTCCCGATGAGGACAGTTCACCAAGAGACGATGGTCAGTCTAGTGACCTTTCTGAGCCCACAGAGAGGCAATCTCCGAGATTCCTGATACCCAAAGCCCCTTTGCCTGGGTTTCTCTGTCCCTTCCGAGACTCATGCACCTCTCCACAAGAAGACAGTGGTGTTCAGATAGGAAGAGAATTCCCCAAAGGTAAGGAGCGAGGGTGGTGGTGGAAGCCATTATGTCTTGATGACCGTCTGAATTTGGCGCAGTGTCTTCTCGGTGGTGGTATCCCACAAACTCACCTTATGGAGGTGTTCAGAGCAGAGAGGGAACAGGATTGGTTTTTGTAGTTGGCAGGTGAAACGTTTGCAGGGAATTAAAAGGCAGTCCCTATTGGCCACAGGCTTTCACCCCTATGGGGCTCTGGGCCAGGGCCCACTGAGGCTGAGCACTGGTAGACTGCTCTGAAGGCAGGAGATCCGGGCCTCCCGGCCCCTCAGGCTGGCTGAGGGCCGGGTCATTGACTGGCTTGGATAACGGCTGAGGGACACGGCCCCCACAGGCCAGCACAGGTTTGCTATGAGCTTTCTGGAGTTTCAGTGTTCACAAGGCAGATCTTTATCTCAGCCCCTCATGGAGGAGGAACCAAGTAGAAAACAGATACCATTTCCCTAGAGGTCCAGCTCCTGAGTAACACAGAACACGGATGTATACAAGATGCAATAATACCACAGGAAATACTGGGTGGTACTGTCGTCAGCAAAAGAATTTAGATTCCCTACTACTGTACAGATTTTCTCAGCAAACTGTAAAAGGGCAGGAAGTTTTACCAGATTTTATATACCTTTGGGTTGTAAACATTAAAAATGATTATAGTAATTGCCAAAAAAAAAACCAGTGTCACTTGAAACTAAAGTTGATCACAAGTGCTGTGTTCATGAATCCATACTGAAGCCACTATTAAGCACCTGCTGTATGTCCTCCTGAGCTCTCAGTACAGTGCAGGAGATAGCCAGCCGCCTAACTCCATATGTGACAGCCTGACACCTGAGAGGGTCTGGACAGACAGCTGCCTGCAAAATGCTTTTGAACAGGAACTTGAAACGCATTAAGAGTCTTAAACCTAATACTTGAAGACAAGGAATCCTGGAGGCTGAGGGCAAGACACAAAGCAAAGAGCTGAAGGAAAAGCACTTTGGGAACAACATGGGCAGGGCTGGGGACCAGAGCGGAGTGGGTAGAGCCTGGTGCGAGGACACAGGATGGAAGGGTAGCGTGACAGTGCAGATCGATTCTAAAGCACCTGTCCCAAAGACAATCTGGCCTTCCAAAGCAAGGAAACAGTATGAGGCTGAGACCCAGCCACCAAGGAGAGTAAACAGTCAGTCTACTGGGTGTAGCCCTCAGAAGACCAGCACTGGGCTTGCTGACCCTAGTGATGAGAAGAAAGATGGAGAGGTGTGCAAAGACAGTGTGGCTTCCCTGTGATCTGTGAAAATGCTTAGGGTGGGGGGGGGGGGGGTCATGGGGACAATATGGCAGTGGTGGTGATGGTATAAAGCAGGGAAGTTGGAAGATAAGAGGTAGAGCTAGTAGCCTTGGCTAGTGGTTATGCCTAAAGGGAGGCTGATTGATGGGGAACTCCTCCAGAAGATGATTTCCGAGATGAGAAAGTGACATGAGAACCTCTAAGCCGTGTGATGTTGGGCGATGGATCCCCTGGGAACAAGCCCCGAGAAAGCCACAGGTTGGGGCCAAAACATCCTGGTATCCCCCCACCTCAGGACTCACACTGCCAAAATGGCAAGGGCTGCTTCCTCGTGGGCACGCGGCAGGGGCAGGGATGGGCCTTGTCCTGGGAATGGAGGGGCAACCTAGAGACTCAGCTTTTGGTCTTGGCAGTGGAATCAGAAGGACTTGGTGGAAGTAGGGGAGTTGGTGGAGTGAGGAGGATGCTGTACAGGTCTAGAGCCAAGAAGTGTAGTGAGACTGGATGGAGTGTGGCAGGTACAATGGGGAGGCAGGAAAGTTCATGGGGGCAGGAGAGTTGAAGGATCAACTCTTGTGTTCCAGGCTAAGGCCTTGGTCAGGAGGTACCAGGGAACGAACTTACTAACCTCCCTCTGCAATCCCAGAGGTAGCCCTGTCTGATCAACTTGTTCTCTGTCATTTTCCAGACAATAGAATGGCCCCAGGAAGGGGCCCAGGTAGTTCAGAAGGACAAATCCTTCCAATTACTTATGCAAAGCCAATGCCTGACTCTGGCAAATTAAAGGGAGGTATAAATAATCTCACACCATCCTCTGTCCTTATATCATTAGTGTAGCAAACACTAGAGATTAATATGCTGTCCTGAAACAACTGAACTGTAATAATTGTACAGGACACACTTAATATGAAGCGCAAAATAAAGAAGTTTCATTTCAAGCTAAGGCGCTCTAAACATCAGAAGCCAAGTAGGTCCTCTGTGGTGTAATTAGCCAGTCGTGGAGCCGGGCTGATTGAGAATGTGCCTCCCTGTGACCAGGGTAGCCGGGACAGTCTGTGATGAGTTGTGATCTTGTCGGCTTAACGAGGCCCATTAATAACCCATGGGCGTTTCTATTTTCGAAATCGTCTCCTGTGTCTAATGGTGTTGAGGAGCCAGGAGGAAATCGCTTGGTACCCTCTAAATGGAATTCTAAATCTTCTCTCCTAGGAGATTATACATGCTGTGACTTAGTTGTAAGAATAAAAGAATGCGAGAAAGAGGACCGGGGCACACCAGAGTCCTCATCTGCACCCCTCTCGCCAGTACCACCCGATAGACCACAGGCCCCCGACCTGTTGGAAGATGGTTCTGAGCCTCAGCAGACACCCGCAAGCCCCATGACCTTGCAGGTAAGGTGTTGCTTCTCTCCCAGGGGAGGGCCGTCCCGGGAAGTTAGGGTGCCTGTGACCTCACTTTCCCACCTTTGTCATGGCTGTGTGCTCCGGCTTCCTTCCCTAACTTCTCTGAGCCTCTGTTTCATGGTGTGAATATGGACATAATGACACTCACTAATTGACCAGGTTAGAATGAGGATCAAATTCTACCAACAGTGACAGTGACGGAAGGCAGATGCCCAGGTACACAGGACATTTTGTAACATCAGCCCCTTTGCTCCTCTAGCGAGCAGAAATCTTCATGAATGCCTCCGTCAGATGGGGACCCTGAGCCTTTGAGAGATTAAGGAAGGCGCTAGGTCACGTGGCTATGAGCGGAAGAACACGGCAGGTTTCATGGACATCTTTCTAACTATGGAAGTCACGTACACACAGTGGTTAAAGTCATAAAAGAGCAGGTGTGGTGGTCCCACTCTGTAATCCTAAGTACTTGAGAGGTAGGATATCAGGGCAGTTCAGGGCCAGTCCAGGCAAAAAGAAACTCACGAGACTCCATCTCAACCAGTGGCCGAGTATGGTGGTGTGTGTCTGTTATTCTGGCTGTTGGGTAAGCACACTGGCAAGGTGCAGTGTCTCTCGTCTGTCAAAAGTAGGAGAATCGCTACCCAGGCTGTCATAGAACAATAAAGATAACCAATAGAAAAAGGAAAAGGGTCTGGAGACATGGAGGTGTGGCTCAAGTTGGAGAATACCTGCCTAGTCAGCATGAGGCCCTAAGTTCAATCTCTAAAACACTGGGGTGGGGGAATAAGGTGCTAAGCGATGTCAGAGAAAGTTCTTGTTCGCACACACTGCTTAGCTAGCCACGCATGCCCCTGGGGAGGCATTTGGCGGGCATTTGGTTGAAAGGCAAGCAATGGTTCCCTTTGCTGACTCCTGCACTTCTGAGCCTCACTGGGCCCCAATGAAGTCTTCATGGTGCCCCAAAGCATCCTGGCTTCCGTGGCTCTCTTGGGATATGCACAGAAAGCACAGCAACACCCAGGCCAACCGTTCTCAAGGGCTATCTCTCCAATCCTGGAGTCCCCTGAGGCTGACCACCAGTGGGTGAGGCCTCCTAATGCCCAGTACCCTGTGGCTGGCACTGATCTGACCTAGAAGATGCTTTCCCCTGCTGGGGATGCACACATAACACAGATGAAGCGCGCGCGCGTGATGCCTGCTAGAGATCTGGAAGAGGAACGAGGCTTAGGAGCATTCCCCCTGTGGCCTGTGCTGAGCCCCTGCCACCGGCAGAGCTCTGTCCATGAGACGTGGCCTGTGCCTTTCTCGGCCTTGCGTAGAGGCCAGCCGAGCACACAGATTCCGTCCTCTGAGGCAGTGTGAGGTGCCATGTGCTCCATGTGCATGGGGAGATAGCCACTTGAGCCAGTGGCTGGCCTGGGGATGTCCCTCTAGGGAGGGTCAGCCTGTGGGCTGAAGACAGTGAAAGGCAGAGAGAGAAAAGCAAGAGACTCGCAGGCCCAAGTGTCACCATGTCATCTACCAAACTCGAGTTGTATCTGCCCAATGGGAATAAACACCCCTGCCAGAATCCATGGGGACCCAAGAAGTGAAGTGTGCCCAAAGAGCACCCAGGGGAGCACCCAGGGGGACACCTGGAGGAGCACCGTGGGAGCACGCAGGGGAATCAATGCTGGCAGTGGGAGGGTCAAGGCTGATGAGGAGATGCGGAGACTTTGGCTCTCCACCCACAGAACCCTTCTGCAGAGGCAAAGATTTCCCTGCAGCTCATTCTCAGGAGGGAAAATGGTCTCCTTGAGCCATGGTCTCTCCTGCAAAGGCCCACTGTTCACCCTGGAGAGCACACCGCGTCGGTGCCTCTTAAGATCCCACTCCAGCGGGAGCAAGCGACCCCGCCCCCTCCCCTGCATCCCGCCCCCACCCGTGTCTCTTTGGGATGTGGGTGCTGGGTACTGGGATTTGGTCCGTTGGCAACCTGTGGCCTGACAGGGCAGAAGAATGGATGTGCAGAGGTTTGTGTTTTCACTCAGGAGGCCCCATGCTTGTTACCCCTGGGTCCTGCTGCGGTGTGTGTGTGTGGGGGGGGGGGGGGTGCATCGTGGTGCTGGCCGCACTGACCCCCAGGACCTATGTCATCAACATGTCTGTGGCATCTGTGTGCCAGGCCATGGGAGAACTTTGGGAAGTGCCTGTTGGGCTCTGAGTACCACCCATTTGATTGGCTTTTCTTGGCCCAATCAGATGGAGATGTTACTTCTCTTTGCTTTTTTTTTTTCCACTTCAATTAGGAAGCACTGGAGGTCCATAAACCTCAGTTCATCTCTCGCTCACAAGAACGGCTTAAGAAGCTAGAACACATGGTCCAGCAGAGAAAAGCCCAGCAGAAGGAGAAGCTGGGGCAGAAACAGAGCTCCTCTCCCATCCGTGCCAGCAAAAAGCAGTTCACCATTCCTCATCCGCTTAGTGGTAAGCTACCAGGGGCCTGGGGAAGCCTGGGGAGGGAGTCCTCTGGCCAGAGCCTTCGTCTGGGGGTGACAGGTCTCAAGGAAGCCATTGACATCCACAGAACCAAAGCTCAGCCTCATCAGAAAGCCTGCTCTGGGAGCCAGCGTCTTCTGAGAGATTAGATGTGGGCACCAAACTCAGCAGAAATAACTTGGGACACAAATTTCCCACTCTAGTTGCTACCACTGTAGCCATAAGTTCAAATTCTTGGCTCCTAACGGATGTTTACAAGACATCCCCTCTGCCCTTTATAGATTGCAAAACAGATCTTGGGGCGAGAGGTTGACTCCAGCTTGTCTATAACAACATTTGTCTTCTTGAAAACCCCCATCCTGCTGAGAGCAGGGATGGGTGAGCCAGCTTGCCTAGCGCTGTGAGACGGGTCAGCTGACCCCAGGCAGCGGGGGAGGAGACACTCACTTGTGGGAGAAGGAATTATCAAGACCCTTTCTAGGCCAGGAACCAGAGGGGGACAGCACAGCGAGCAAGACTGACCTCAGTGCTTCCTTCACAGAGCTCAGAAACAGACTATTAAACTAGCAAGAATGACAAAAGGAGGTGAGGGCAGGAATGGGGGACCTCGGAGCACATACTTATCGCCTGCCAACCCAAATCATAAAATCTGGAGACCCAGAGAAGCCTCTGTTTTATCCCTTAGGATAGAGGAATGAGGTTTATCTCCCTAGGGAAAATGTGTCGGCCGGGGAGGGGGGGGAGGGGGGGAGTGGCGCTCAGGAGGTGAAATCATGAGGAAACTTCTGAGTAAAAGTCCTCTGGGAAGATAACCATAGTGAAATGCAGCCGAGCGAACATCATGAAGATCTCAGAAAGGGGAAGTGGAGGCAGAGGACAAGAGTGGGTGTTCTAAGGGACAGCCCCCACAGCCAAGGGGCAGGCCGTGTGTTTCCTGCAACCCGGAACATTCTTGAAGAAGTGTCTGGGAACCCCAGCAAGGTTTTCAGATGACTCTGAAGTCATCGTCTTCGGGCAGGCTTTGGGGTCTTCTGACCGCCCCTGCTCCCCGTCAGCCTATGGTGGCACCACTGAAGGCTCCGCCTCTGTCTTCACGGGGCCTCTTTCCTTCCCCGTGTCTCTGACTTTGTGTCTACATTGGTTGCCTCTTCTCACACACTGGATTTGGGTCACCCAGCCCGGGATGACCTCATCTTAACTGCCTTCCGTCGGCAAGGACTGTATCTCCAATGATAAGGTCAAATTAAGGGTCTCCAACAGGCACGGGGAGCTAAGACTTGATTGTATCATTTGGGGGGACACAGTTCAACTCACTACATTTTCCTTTGATGTTGTGTGCAAAGCAAATGTAAGGTCACCTACCTATGGACCAAATCTTAAAACTTCGCATACAAGACAGGAGGATCCAGGCCCAGTGCGTAGTGTTAAATAACTGAGGGACCTTTTTATTCCTCCAATTCCAAGACGGTGCTGGTAAGTGGAACGCTGGGGGTGAGGGGCTTCACTGGCTCCGACTTCATGGCCTTTTCAACTGTCCCCTACAGTACCCATGTGTTGGTGAGAACTCTGTTTGCATGTTTGTTTGTGTAGGTCAGTTAAATCAGACACAGTCTGGAACCAGAGCCCCTGCCAGCTCAGGCAAGTGGGAGGGAATGTTTAAGGCCCCATTAAACAAGTCTACAGCACACGTCTTGTCTTCAGCCTGTCTGCTGGCAAGATGATAAAAGCAAAATGCAGATGTTTTCCTTACATGCTAAATTAGTTAATAAATCATGAGCGTGAACGAGCGCGGGTTGCAGTGTCAGGGTGTCTGGTGAAAGGAAGACTTGGGTCTGCTTCTCTGTGCCCAGATAGCAGCCTCCAGTCAGGGCTCTGTGCTGTACTGGCTCAGGGACAGGACCAAGAGGCCCAGGTGGGAATGCTGACACCTGACAATGCCAGGAGAAATGAGGCCCTGGATTTGCAGAGATGATGATGACAAAGACCAGAAACCAGCAGTTCCGTGTTGGTTGATGAATTCTGAGCAGCCTCTAAAGCTCCGAGGTAGGATGTGGCATGTATGTCCTGTGTACATGTGTGTGTGCATGTATGTATGTATGTTTATTAGGGCTAGAGGCCCCTCTTGGTGCATCAGGGGTGATAGCATTGAAAGGGCCCTGGCTATAGCGCCCAGTTCCGATGGAGACTTCCGGTTGCATCAAGATGAAGAGTACCAGGACTAACAACTAAGTTTTCAGAATGAGGCACTGTTCTACCTTCCAGACAGAGCCAGAAGCAGGACAGCTCCAAAGCAGTGGGAGCTGTGGGCAGGAGGGTTTGGCTTCCATGTGTGTGAAGGGTGCTGTGCCCACAGGTCCTTGTAGGGGGTGGGTAGCCGCCCTCACCACCCCTGTTGACACATTGCAGTGACTCAGACCAGGACCTGACCCATACGTGGGTCCCAAGCCTCCCTAGAGTACATCCATCTCCCATAACCCAGATTCCTCACAGCCTGATCCTGCCACCTCTGGCCTGGTAGAAGCTTGTCTGAGCCCTGTCACCCTCTGAGGCCCAGCTAAGGCCCATCTCTTTATCATCAGGCCTCTTCTCTGCCCCCTTGAGCCATGCTGTGGTCTGTAATAATTCTCACATCTCAGCTGAGGGCCTCATTGTTGACGAATCACATCTGCAGCCATACAACGCAACTCTCCACCCAACTCAGAAAGCCTGGCAGAGCCCAAACCCTTGCCCACATGGCCAAATGAGTGAGTTCCTTCTCCATCCACCTGGCATGCCCAAGTTGTGCTTGCCCAAGTTGTATCTTTAATCTTTAAATGTGTAAAAGAAGCTTCCCCTTCTCCCACACAGCCCTCCCATCCATCCTGCACTATCTGAACACTCATGGCTTTACATGCTGCTTAATCGTGTTTCTTTATTCACCGTGGGTTGTATGGTATCTGTGTGTGGACAATGTTCTTAGAACACAAACAGCGGCAGGTACATACCACGCCATGCCATGCGGCGCCACTTAGATACCCAGCTGTATGTAGCTCGACAGTGCAATTTAATCTGAATTCCATTACCCACACTTCCCAAGGTGAGCCAAGTCAGAGCCATTCAAATCACGGATCAGTAGAGGAACTGAATCCTCCAGAAGGCACTGCAGGTTTCCTTCTGCAGCTCTGCCTTGGCTGATGGTTCTTGGCTAGAGCAAGCATTAACATTCATTTGCATTCCCTGAGCATCCAGCCCAAGGAGATATGACCCAGCAGATCCAAAATGGCAGCAGAAGTCAGGGTGCTCATAAAAATGTGCCGTGTGTCACCCAGCCAGCCAGCCGATCAGGCTGCAGAGCCCAGGCTGATGATCTGATCTCCTGAATGTCTTTCTATAAAACGTTAAAATAAATATTTGTGTTAGTCTCCCAATATTAATCACGAAGGAATTTTAAGATGTGCTTATCAGATAAAAGTCAACTTTTACTTTTATCAGTCAGGAAATGAAACAGGAGACATGTCACTGAAGTCACTATTTCTCTGATCAGACACCCACCTGCACACTGGACTATAGAGTAGAGGCTGCCACACTGTGCCACACCATCACCGTTTGTTGCTTTTTATTATTAAAGAAAAGACCAATGTCTATTGATCAGAATTAGACTTAAAGGACAACTAAAATTGCATGCAGATGCTGGGTGCTAGGGCTCATGTCTGTAATCCTTGCTACTTAAAAAGCTGAAATTGGAGATTCAGGGTTCAAGGCCAGCCTGAGCAGACAAATCTTAAGATAAATCAATCTCTCTCTCTCTCTCTCTCTCTCTCTCTCTCTCTCTCTCTCTTTCTTTCTCTCTCTCTTTCTATCATGGGGCTTGAGCTCAAGGCCTGGGTACTGTTCCTGAGCTTTTCTGTTCAAGGCTAGCACTCTACCACTTTGAGCCAATGTGCAACTTATGGTTTTCTGGTAGTTAATTGGAGATAAAAGTTATGGACTTTCCTGCCAGGCCTGGCTTTGAACCATGATCCTCAGATCTTGGCCTCCTGAGAAGCTAAGATTGCAGGTGTGAGCCAAATGTCTAGCCTGACATTTTATTTTTTGGTCATGAGACTTGAATGCTGGGCCTAGGTGTTATCCCTGTGCTCTTCAGCTCAAGGCAAGGCTCTACCGCTTGAGCCCCAGTGCCACTTCCGGTTTTCTAGTGGTTTATTGGAGATAAGAGTCTCACGGACTTTTCTGCTCAGGCTGGTTTTGAACTATGATCCTCAGATCTCAGCCTCCTGAGTAACTAGGATTACAGGCATGAGCCACCAGCGCCTGGCTTCCAGCCTGAGAAATTTTTATCTCCAATTAATCAGCAAAAGGCTGGAACTGGAGTCATGGATAGAGTGGTAGATCACCGGCTGTGAGCAAAAAAGAATCTAGTGAGCACAGCGCTCTAGAGTTCCAGTCCAAGGAACAGCATAAAGAAAACACCACATAGCACAGACACTGAACTGAGAAAAGGTGAGAAAATAACTTTGTGAGGGATTACTTGGCCCTGTATTTTAAAATTCCACTTCAAACTTACTTTCTTTTCTGACCCATAAAGCAGCTAAATGATCAGCCCAGTAGGGCCTCTAAGAGGGTAAACTACCTGGTCACCAACCTGGAATGGGTCACCTCTCTCACCGTATTTTGTGATTCTCTAAAATACACTGGAAAGCCCTGGAACTGGAGCACGTGCTGGCCTCTGTGAACGGCCCTTCCTCCAGACTCATCCTGGGTGCAGTCACTCAGCCATGTGGGGACAAGTGGCGTGATTTGAATTTTGTCACTGAAAAACATACCCCTATTTTCCTTCAGCCTCAGTAAGGTCTAATTGACAGCAGTTGTCTGTATTTATGATGTACATTGTGTTTTTTCATACATGAATGCATTGTGAGATGATTAAATGAAGATAATTAGCAGACCAACACCTTATACATTTTTTTTGGTGATGAGAGTGTTTAATATCTCTCTCTTGCAAATATAAA